TAGACGCACATAAGAGAATCCGAATGTCACTGAATGATGCCCAGTTTGGGGCCGTAACTGGCATTTTTGAGTCCAGGTTTATGGTAATGTTTGCAGATAAATGTTACAAGGATGGAAACATATTGACAGCTAGGGGAGTACAAGTAGGTGTTTAGATGTCAATATAATATATGTTCAGTGTTTATGTTAATTATTTTAATAGCAAAGCTTGGTTAATTTATGACAAATAACTAACAAAGACAAAAGGTGTACGTTGCAATCAGCAGCTGCTGTAGCAGACTACTGACAGGTATCATTCACAATTGTTCTTCTGTTGAACTGAATTTAAAACATAGCACTAATTAATACATTAGGTTGATCAGATTTCAGTAAGAAACTGCAGGGCTTTTTAGCACAGACATAGAAGAAGGTTTATTATTACTGAATGACTTTAAGGAACTTAGCAAACAACTGTTATTAGGTGCCTGGGAACAGAATGTGCATTGTGTTTCATATTTAGCCATCTGTAATGCCCTGCACTAATCACTCTTTAGGAGAACTACGCTATACCCAGTTTCTTTTTTACCTGGATTAGAGAAAGCTGTTGTGCATTTATATGATGGCAGAAGTTAAAGAGCCAACTTTGGGAAAAAATGTTAGTGTACTGCATTCCACATTTTAGGGTGAAGCTGACTGGGTTTTCTGCAGTGGCTAAGTTGGCGCATAAATTATATATTTTTATGAGTAACATTCACTGCGCTAACATAGCACTTTGGCGGCAACAGGTGGACTTTTTTAAGGTCAGCATAGCCTTATTCACATTGGTATCCACGACCTAGACAGCACTACACAGTAACACTCTGTACAGTAAAAGAAAGTCACACTGAAGGTGTGGAGTTTGAAAGATGTAGACATTCAGGAGAGAGTTCTAAAGTAAGATGCTATTGAGTTGAGCATTATGGGAGGTATCGCATCAACTGTTTTTACAAGAGACTAGAGGTCAGGATATCTTGGCCACTGCCGATTCAATTTTCACGATTTTTTTTAATGTGTTTCTTGGAAATCCCAATACTTTATGGAATGAAATATTACATTTCCAGAGTATCTCTTTAAGAAGATGCACAAATTGTGCATTGGCACTATCTGGAAAAAGTGATGTGCTCTCATTATATCAGCAGTTATATATGAGCTCCCCAACCAATGTGGACAAACAGCATAGGTGTTCCAGGTTAGTTCATACAGTGGATAGAGGTGCCCTGCTCCAGCACCATCCTTGGTGGCTGTGAGTGGGGTTATTCGCAAAACAGGTATTGTACAATCTGATAGCTGTTGGCACAACAGAGCGCCTGAAGCACTTTATGTTGCACTTTGGGGGTAAAAGCCAGAGGCTGGAGGTGTTTTTCCACGACATCAGCTCACCAGAGATGGGGTGGATGGTTTTGTGTAGGACATATTTCAGTTTGGTCCTGGCCCTCCGCCCTGCTACTGCCTTCAGGCTGTAACAGTCAGACTATTTTTTGAAAAACCAGTTTATTCTGCTCTCCTCCCTCATCTCAGCACTGCATCCTCTACACTCAAGAGTGAACAGCACATTGGACGCCACTGATTTAATAGAGGCATGTGAGATAGTCGCTGGTACGTATGAATGGCAACTTGAGACTGCACTGTGTCTACCTCTACGTCTCAGTGCTGAGAGGTGTTTGTAGCTTCTTCTTTATGAAGTCATCTACCAGTTCCTTCACCTTGCTGACACTGAGCCACAGAAAGCAGCATCAAAAGATGTTGCACCGATGTGAGAGCTCAAAAACAGACAAAGTTCCCCACCTTACTCAAGTCAACATCGTCTTGGCCTCCTTATTAGAGCAGTGAACACCTTGCAGTGGTGCTTCTTAACAGCTTCAATGTCACAAACATTACATTTGTTAGACACATTCATGGCTCACAGTACATTAGCTGTGAAGTAACTTGATATCTACAGTGAACACAAACTGTATGTTGCTTATCACAACTTGTTATTGCCTCTGCGTTACTATGGCAACATTCTGTGGCCATCCCTTACATACAGCACTGTATCTCCTGGCAGATCCAGCGATGTAACTGTCCATTCCCAGCAGCCCAGGATGAAACTAGAGATGATCACTGCTGCAGGATCACCAGCCACTCAGACCAACTGTCATTCATTTTACTCCAGAGCCTCTGGCCTCGGAAATCTGTGTACATGCTCACACACGCCTACGTCATGCGACTGAACATACATTCAAACACACACTTACTCATTGGTGGATATCTAGTCAAGAATACAACTTGGAATATCCTGGGAAGCAGTGAGCAGTGAGGAGACACTTCAAGCTCGGTCTCACCGCAAGGTCACAGCCTGCAGGCAGCAGCAGTAGCAGCAATAATGGCCCTCCATCTCCCAGCCCCATTTAACTGACTGATGCTTTTTGACATGTCGGAGCGATCGAGCCAGTTAGCCTCTGGGAGGCTTCAATTAGGACCAGGACTTAATGCAGCCGAGAACTTTGCAAGGCCCTGATACGATGTTACAGCCAGACTCAAATCAATAAGGAGAACATGCTTAAAGGCAGCTGTACTGAACCCCCCACACACAGTGCTGCTCGAGAGCTTAGAGATGGGTGTATGTCGATTGGGTGTAGTATAATGCAGAGAGAGAGTGTTTTCTGTTGGTAGTAGATGTGTATTTTAGCTAGACTGAATAGTCCCCAGGTTGTCTTCTGAGAAAGAGTTTGAACCCTCATAGGCAATTAGATAATTCTCAGTAAAGTGGTAATCAGAGGCAAACAGGTGCGTGTGACTGCTTGAACATGTGTTTAAATCTTAAAAAGAGAACAAACTGAATTCTTTCACCTGCACCTGTTGCCTGTATGGTGTGTTACACACACACACACACAGCTCCAGTATGATAATGAAATAAAGGAGCAGAGCTGTGAGTGACACGGCTGCAGCACTATTTCACGGTCCTTCCGACAGGTCCATTTCCTCACAGCAGGCATGTGATTCAGCCGAGGCTCCTATATAACTGCCACTGCCACCCTGCATCTTCCCTGCACTCCTGATTTATGGATAAGATGCGTGCGGTTATACACTCCCTCAGGGGCCAAGCCTATTTGATTTTGTCAGGGGCAATTAAATAGTCCATGATGGGGCTTGCAAACTGTAACATGATGAACTATGAGGAGAGAGCAATGATGATTTAAATTTTTTCTAGGCATGGTAATTCTTGATTTTGGCAAAAAAAAAAAAAAAAAAAAAGAAGCTCCGACTGGGAATTATGTTTTTTAAGGAATGTAAGTATTGCACTTATTCATCATATTTGCATCAGCTTCAATGAACAGCTCATATCAAACACTAAAGTTTTGTCTTTCTTCTCACTTCTTGAGTGCATATTACATCGCTGAAAACTAATTTTTTTGTTTTTCATCACAGCATTGAGTGGCATTCAGTGCTAGCAAAAGCCAGTTTGATGGAGCAGTGGAATAACAACTTTGAGGCAGGCAGACCTTGAGGTTGGCTGTATATCATTTTCCCCCCACAGTGCGAGTGCATCATTGTCTGGGCTGTAGCAGTCAGAAATGACAACAGAGGGTGACACTGAAAGGTCCCGGAGTTCAGCTGCCTGAAAATGTCACTGGGCTGGCTATGACAGAATGCCACACAGAGAGAGGGGAAGGGATATGACAAAACAACAACCTTAAAGTGCTACAGATCTCTCTCTCTCACACAAACATACACTCAAGGAAATGTGCATATTCTCCTCCTCCAACACACACACACACACACACACACACACACACACACACATGTTGTCATTTAATCTAAAGCATACAGAGAGAGGAGGGTTCTGTATAGTACATTAATGTTTCATTGATGATGTGAAAATAGACAAATATTTTGAAAACAGATTAGTCGTTTAAGTTATTCAAGCCCCCTGTTTCTCAAATCTGATGTGTTTCTATTTTTAAATATGATAGTAGATTGAGCATTTTGGGAAGTCACTACATTCACTAAAATAAGAGATTTTATGTAATAAACAATTCCCTGATTAATCAGAAAAAGTCACCAAATGGATCAACAATGAAACAAATCATTTGTTGCAGCCCTAGTACTGTGCATGGTAAAGTTTCGAGTTAAAGTTGTAATCCTTAAGATTTTGATGAAACCCTGCTTTATATGCTACTTATGGTTGTTATTTTCAGCAATAGCTATTCAATGTATTTACACTCCGAAATTACTTCTACAGTGTGTAGCAGCTTTCATTGTTAGCGGCGGAGTCCGCCATACCCACTGGATACCAATTTCCTACCTATGCACAGGGGATTCACAGGAAATTATGTATGTAATCTATTGTTAGTGTTGTTACTGCCTCACCGTTTACTGTTCACTTTCCTAAAGTCGTATCAGAGGTTTATAAAGTTAAAACCATTCAGTCAATGAAACACAAAAGGTAGCACTTATTGTGAAGCAGTGCCAGGAAATGCATTGTATTTGTTACAAAGGTTTGCCCTGACCACAACTGTCCATCAAAAATGCATCTCCTAAACAACACTATGGTAATTTGGGCATTTTTTGGCAGCTAGTCATTAATATTGGCAAGTAGCTGGTCAAGGACCACAGTAACTGTGGTAACAGTAAAACGTCACCAAATCAACCAGGTTGAAATGTTAAGCATTCTAATCTAATTTTCATACCAGTCACCTCATCCATCCAACATACTGTACACATTGAGTGAATTTTTGGAACAAAAAGCAGGATGCCGAATATGTACCTACATAGTGAGGATGTGACAGTCGCTCTAATAGCAGACGGCATGTTTCTACTGTGTCAGCTATAGTGCACATGCAGTAGTGCGTGTACTAAAGATATGTAAGGTGTGGATTCATCACAGCTTTCAACCCTGCGATATGAGACTGAGGAGAGGAGAGGGTAAAGCAGAAATGTCTCTCCTCATTAGACCTGACCCCCCCCCTCCCCTGCCGCTGACAGAGAGACTCATATCCTACCTCCACCAGTCAGCTCTCTCAGTATGGCATCAGTCCATCCGCAAGTGTAGCTCTTCCCTCAAGTCAAAATCAGCGCATTCGCTTGATCCGATTGGGCACGCACGTCAGCATCACCTTGTGTGAACGGAGAAGATAAAGAAAAAGAGTTCACCGTCTGAAGTCTGGCCAAGTTCTGCAGCTTCGCTGTCACAAAATTAATGCAGAGTACATTTCCTCTGGGTGTCAACTTATTGTTTTAGCACCTAATCTTTCCATGCTGTCAACCTTGTTTGTATCCTTGTAGTTCATACTAATTAGCTATATTAATATGACGAAGATGATGATAACGATGATAAAAAGGATAAGATACCTGTATACCTGTTGGTGGTGTTATGTTAAACTTTATCACAACCTGGGTGTTATTTTCATAGTTTTGACCATTGTAGCTTGCGTTTCTTGCCCCGTCAAACATTTTTTTTGTATTACCACCAAGTTCCAAACTCTACTATCTGAATTGATTGAAATGGACCAAACACCAATGTTAATAAATCTTTTACATAATTAGATGTCTGGCATCTAATTATGTAAAAGATTTATTAACATATGCTGCTGCAGAAATGTGTAAACATTTATCCTAGCACTGAACTTTCAAACTTTTAACATTAGGAATCCACTGAATTCTTAACAAAGCTTTTATTCTGAAGAAACAGTCTGAATCCACTGAATAAGCCCCTTAACAATGAGGAGGTTTAGAAACAATAAGCGCCATCACAAAGGGGAACAATTTTTCTTTAACATGGAGTGAGATTTGTTATTTAAATAGCAAGGCATGGGAGTAAAACGAAAGCACTGTATGTGATTTAATTGGGACTGTACCTGCAACCTAGGTGCAAAGGATGAGTCAACCATGTAACCTTGCTGCCAGTGGAAGGACAGGAAGCATTTCATCATCATTTCTCAGGGAAAAGAGAAACTACTATAATATTTTGCTAATTTTGAAAAAAATTAAAAAAATAAAAAAGTAATTTCAACATTTATCTAGATCTAGCCTATTTCACAGCAGCCATTTTGACTTGTCAAAGTAGGAAAAGACACAGGTGTTACTAATAACATTAATTATGGCTCTGTTCTATTCAAAGCCTGCATAATATCTGGACACTGAAATCAAAGCAGCTACATGGAATTCAGCCATCATTTCCTTTTTATTTTTTACACCCGTGCTTGTCCTACTGTGACATGTCAAAATCTATAAAAAGGATTAGTATTAATAGGACTAAATATGTTTCTAAACATATGAGGACTAAACATTCTTTCTATACACACACACACACACACACACACACACACACACAGGTTGTGGTCATTTCAGGTCTGCTTTATGTTTTCCATCTACTAGACCCCCATTCCAATAACCCTCAACCCTGCCTCACACTAAAATAGGGTAGCAGGTGTATTAATTCAATAGTCACAACCATACATCCATGGCTGCATTAAAAATAAGCCTCTCACACAGATGCTGCCAGCTGCATGTGTGTAATTGCGTGTGTAAGTACAAATGGACAAAACACACACACACACACAGCTGAGTGGTTTCCCTGGCAACCAGAGGCCAGGAAAGGACTTGTATTGAGCGCATATGACCATTTGACCACATATTGAATCTCTCTGCTCTTGGTGGAGTTTTTATCCAAAACATTGTTATTTAAGTGAAAACGTAAAACAGATATTAACATTTTTGAAAAACCTTGCGTGACTCTTAAAGCAGTTCATTCCTAACAGCTGGGGCAATTTCTTTTGTGGATTAGCAAGTCTATCATAAGAGCGCTTCCACAGATGTTATCTTCGCACTGCGCGGCTATGCAGATGACTTTTACAGCATGTGCAGAGTTTTCAGGTCTCCATTTTCATAAAGACGCATTATGGTGATGTGACACACAATCATTTGCACCCAAATGCACGCCAGTGTTAATTGGAAGAGCTGTTGTTATCCTGCAGTCTTAACTCTGCAGTAAGAACAAAAACGTGTCAATACCATCACCTTTCAGGAACTGTGTTTCATCAAGTCGTAGTTGCTAAATTATTAGCTAAGGCAGGGCATGTGTCAAAGTGAGTGAGTGTATGGTTGTGAGAGAAAACGTGAGGTTACAGGGAATGCAAATAAGTACGTCTTGAAGCTAGCACAGGTTAATTTAGGGCTATTTAGATTGCTGAATGGTTTTAAATGAAGCCCTCTCTCTCATGTGTGCATGTCCAATTAGTGGAGCGCTACCTTCAGGATTCAGCCTCTTCCTGTCGCCGTTTGCCAAATGCGGCTGTCGACTGAATCAGAAACTCTTGGTCTGTCTGTCTCATTCTTGCAGTTAGGCAGGAGAAATGGCCTCCTGGGGTATCTTATACCTTATGGTGGTTGGTAGTTTAAGAGTTCTTTGAAAGATAGAAGTAAATGTAGAATGGAGGTACAGAAGTTCCGATCCAGCCCGTATGAATAAATGCATAACCAAACAGCCATTTCAATTAAAATCCGAAAATGTTCAGGCATCATGCATTCAGTATTTTCCGGTGCCTTCTCGAACTATAGCTCATATGGGATGCCCTTTAATGCAGCTACCCTTTGCAAACAAATGGACATTCTATCACTTTCTAAACAGCAGGATTTCACAGCATCAAACACCCTAGCTGTGTGTTAGCTTTAACATGCTTTCATCAAAGGGCAGACACAAACAATGCGCAAAGGAAAAATGTTTACTTTTCCACCATGGAAATGTAATTGCATCATCTCTTTTGAAGTTATTTTGATGTGGATGACTGTAAAATAAAAATAAAAACATTTCAGCACATCCTTTGAGAGAATTATGGCCAGATTGTTTTCATAACCCTGGGACTGGTGAGCATAAAAACCAAAGCGCATTCTCCTGATAAAGCTTATCATGTCTGTAGACATGAGGCACGCTTAGAGGTTGGACTGATAGTGTCATCATATGAGGATGTTGGTAAGAGTTGGTAAAGTAAGCTTACATACTGTATTTGAAGACTAGATCCCCATGTGAGGGAAAAAAACATGCACTTTTACATGGGGGTGGGGGTGGGAGTGACTGGGAGTTGCAGTCACTTCAATAAGTGTGCCTCTCTTTGGGGTGAATGTCTTGATCAGTCAGAGGGGAGGAACAGGAGGCTGGGAAAACAGCTTGTACAGCGGGTATAATCAGCCCCAGTTTTGGCAGAGAGTGGCAGCGCTTTATTACTTGTCTAAGTAAATGTATAATCGAGCTAGTCACTTTATCCACTGGTGCGCTAGACTGTACTGCTTTTACTGGCAAAACGCAGATTAATTTATTTGAGCAGAAATCTCAAAAACTGCCAGGGAGATGACTGACGGGCATCAGGGAGGCTCAGGATACTGGGATTCTTACAATGTTAAGACATGCAGGATTTTTTGGGTGAGTACTGCAAAGCGGTTCCTCAGATTTAAACTGAAACTACATTTCCAAAAACCCTGGAAATGGTGGAGAATATTGCACTTGGCCTCCCCAGGGATTGTATTAAATGAAAACACTGAGATCAAATATTCCCTGCACTTTCAATTACATGCCATTCCACTTGAGCCCACTTGATCTCTTATGTAAAACGCCATGTGTTGCAATTAGCTCTGATTTAGTTTGTTTTATTAAAACATAGCCTGAAGGTTCTGAGGAAAGTCAGCAGCACTGATGTTCATCCTGGTACTCGAATGTTAAAATCATTAAACTGAACCCTTGAGCTGCAATTTGACATAAAGGAAGATACCTCCAGCTCATTACTACTCAATAGCCTGAAAGTAGCGGCTACCTTGTGGCTAATAGTTACAGAACTGAAATCAGTGAAAAGGAAGAACATTTATGAATGTTTTGAATGAAGTAAAATGAAGAAAAAGAACAAGTACAACAAGATACCTTACTCTAGACGGAGCCACAGTCTTCATTATACCAGCTCAAACTCAGAGCACCTCAACATTATGGAAAGGGGAACAGAAGGGGTTTAATTTCCACAGCGCTTTCTGCATCATTAACGATGGCTTTGATTAATGGTTTACATCCACCCAAATCCCCACCTGTGAGAATCGCAATAAAGATGATAATTTGTCGGGCCACACCCACCTTCCAATCCCACATGTAGACACAGAATAAACAGGAAAGTAAAAGGCACAGGGGATTAATTTTCACTTGCACCTGTACTTTAGTCAACACTGTTATAAATATTGTGACTTTCTAATCAGCAATTTTGGTGCCACTGCAGAAGGGGCACACAGTAGGCGTGTTCAATAGGGAAAATAGCCTTGCATCAATTCTCCCATTTTCTGCCGACCTCTTCGCTGTTTGCAACCCACCCATGTAATCCATCATGGAGACATTAATTATGTACAAGGCTCTTCCAGGACAAAGACTCTAATGAAGGGCCTGTCAACACAGGCCTTTCTCAGAAAACAGTGCAGTCATGGAGGTGGGAGGGATGTGTGTGCTGAGACCCCCACTTGGATCTGGTTTTGAAGAGGAAAGCGACAACAGTTCAACCGCATTTTCAGCACCTGCATTGTGATAATGCTTGCACAGTGCACACCTGGAAATGCAATCTCTAATAGATAAAGGGCCACTGGGGGTAGAGCTAACCTGCTAGCAATGTTAACAGATTCACTGTCATATATGAAAGGAGGGGTGGGGGGGGAGTTTTTTATTTTCTAAAATCACTGAATTGACCCTGCCTATATTTGGGACAGGCATCCATATGGGACAGGCCTTTAATTCCTTTCACACGAAACTGAAATAGGCTACTATGAAACAGTTTATTTATTTCAAACAGTATGAATATTACTTGTATATAAATGATCAAGTAATATCAAGTACACTTCATTCATTTGATCTAGCACAGACGGCTTATGCGCTTTTATTTTATAGGCAACAACGTAATGAAAACAACAACACGATGCAGGATGAGAAAAGTGTGGCAGAAGTTAGCAGACAGAGAGCAATGGACTTCAAATGACAGGATTCACAACTTGGATAAATTTTTATGAAAATCTGTTTTGACCCTTTTGATCGGTGGACCCTTACAGACTAAAGGAATATAAGTAATCAATGAACGGACACAGGTGTCGGCACTTT